GAGTTTCTGTGACATACTCGTCCTCTAACTACTTCATCTCTTTTCTCTATGGCCCCTAAGGCTTCAGACTTAGTACACTATGGGTAAATCTCATTTGCTGTAATTGCATTTATGTTCCCTCACCTGCTTCTTTCCCTCGGGTCTTAGTCCTGCCCATGTAAGATGCAAAGAAAAAATGTGAGGAGGGAGGAAGCGAGGAAACACATTCGTACATACATGAGATGTATATTTCTGTGATCCTTCATCTGAAGCGCCCAATCACCAATTGATTTCTAAAAAAATGGGCGTGTCAGTCTATAAAAACATCTGTGAAGGATGCTTTCGTGTATCCTCACTCCTCAGAGCAGAAATAAGAGCTTTGGGACATCTTTCAAGATGAGGTACTGGAACGGTTTCCGGGTCGAGTGAGGATCGAGGAAAGATTTAATAAGGGAATTGGGATTTACCCTATATAAACCAAGTTATTTGAATCCTTCTTTCTGTTCCGAACTGATAGTCATCAATCACTTTTTTTCTTTTTTTCCTCTACCTCTTCACGGCAGCATGTAACTGCGATGCCACAGGTTCTGTTCGGGATGACTGTGAACAGATGTCGGGTTTGTGTTCTTGCAAGACAGGGGTGAAGGGCATGAAGTGCAACGTATGTCCAGACGGAAGCAAGATGGGCATGAATGGTTGTGACAAAGGTAATATGAAAAAGAACTGGTGGTGTGTTAATAAACACACACACACACACATAAACATTTTCTTTTTCATCCAAGCTTCTCTCTACCTGCCCCGTAGTGTTTACTTGTCATTTATCTGATCCATGGATCAACCTTGTAGCAGACAGTTCTTTGTCTGTTTTTCACATCCATCAGGTTTATAGACACAGGAAAGAGGTGACTGCAGGGCGGTTAATCAATAGTGATTAGGTAAATACTTGAGTGTACAAATGACATACGCCTGGCATATCAGCCATTGATATTTTATTTTCTCTACATTATAGTCCATTGCGAATCTTTCACACTACCTGTACGTGTATGTTGATAATCCTGCACAAGCACTATTGATTACTTAGATTAACAATGAAAACAGCCTCACTGGTTGCACAAGCTAAAAAGCCAGTCGAACTTGATTAAGATGCACACCGTCAGCTATCGACTAGAAGTCAAATGCTTAATGAAGCCAGTAGTCCCAGCACAGTGGTGGGGCGCTCCACCACACACCCCGCCAGATAAAAAGATGAGGTACTATGAAGTGGTAGCACATGAAAGCAGGAGCCAAGGGCTGGGGGGTACTCTAAGCCTCTGTGATGTTGCAACAATGCAAAGACCCCACGCTTACAGCCTGGCAGGTGGATGGTGGGCTCCCTGGCTGCAGCTCCTGCTGTGGCAACTTCAAGCTTCAAATGCTCCTCAGAGAGCTTTGGAAGAGGTCTGTGGATCAAAAACCTTTACATAACACAAAAATACTGTTTTAATACATGTTTAGGCAATTTAAGGAAAAATGGTGTGGTCAATAAAATTATGAATAATTCACACTGTGTGACATATAAGCAACTAGGCAATTTTATTATTACATTACACAGCTGTATTGTGGTTGTAAAGAGACAAACATATCAGCTTAAATATTTACAGTGTAATCAATTATAGCCTTTCAGCCAATCCCCAACTCCTATACACATTTTAAAATCAACCCCGGTGGGGATGAGGGGGCTGGCAGGCGTTGTGGCTCAGAGCCAGGCTAGTTCAGTAGCACCCTAGTTACTACTCTTTGCATTAATATTATCTGATAGTAAGCCAACATAGACTGTGAGCAAGGTGAAGAATTCTATCAATAGTAAACAGTAAGTGGTGTCTGTAATGCAGATGTTTACATGAATGTAACCACTATTACACATGCTAATACTACACTGTAGATTATCATTTGTCTCATCCAGTCGAGGGTCTATACACTTTTAATCAAAATCTTAAATATGACATCATGCAAAAAAAGTAGCTTCAGCTTTCGATCAACAACAACCCCACTATTACTGTACTATCACTGTATAAGAAATGCAAATTAAACTTTTGATTTGGCTCAATTTCTACACAGTTACTTCAATCAGAATTCATAAATTCTCCATATAGTCTCCGCTGCAATAAATTGTATGTGCATGGGAGTGCAAGTGTAATAATACAGACCCGTCTCTTCCACAGGTCCTGAGGCACCGACTTCATGTGACGAGTTGGTGTGCGTTTTTGGAGCTACTTGCATTGAGGTGAATGGTCAATCCCACTGCGAGTGCCCTTCACCTGACTGTGATGAGAAAAACAAAACTAAGGTGGGAACTGTCTGCACTTAAGTCATTTGATCCACAAGTTTGCAACACAGCATAACCAGACAGACATTGTTTCATTGGCCTTCAGGAAGTTAACGTGTGTTCCAATCTTCCCTCTCTCCGTCTCTGTCACTGTGGAGCAGGTGTGTGGCTCAGATGGGGTGACCTATGCCGACCAGTGCCAGCTGAGGACCATAGCCTGTAGGCAGGACAAGGACGTCACAGTGCAACACTTTGGACAGTGCACAGGTGAGGCCCGTCGACGCCTCCATGCATCACGCATCGCACGGATGGCGAACTGTTGTCAGGCCCCAATCACAGGATAATGAGCAGTGCTGTGGGCCTTAGATTGTCCCCCTGCTGCTGTTTCTTCTATTCATCTCTCCGTCTCTGTAGCAGAAAAAGAGTCACAGCAGCGCGAATGCAAATGTAGTTTGAATAAAAGACAGTTTGAAAGAAAATACAGCGCCTGCACAAAACAGTAGTGATTCTGATTTGAGATGAGGCGAATCCACGAGTTTTATTTCAAAAGACACATTAGTGATTTGTGCATGAGTTTCTTATTGTTTAATCAGAAATATTTAGTTCTTTTCACTGAGTACAGTGTAGTAAGCTCTGCCCTCCCCCCTGCTTGTGGACCGTCAGGCAACACTGGAGAAAAGTTAGAATGAGAAAGATATTGTAGCATTTTAAATCCAAGGGTTTTACAGTTTGTCTGGAGTCTGAGCCTTTCAATCCCACAAGATAGCAGTGGCACTTCCTCGTTGCCTTCTGTTGGGATTTGACTTCATCTTCAAACCCCTCTGCTGAGAAATGCGTCACTCCCTTTGCAGCTTTTTGCTGGCAGGAACACAGTGCAGTCCCACTATGATGGTGGGTGTAGGCTAGACGTGTGCCGAGTATAACATACAGCTTCTTGCCCTGTGGTTCAGATGCTGATGGACATTGTTTGGATTGGAGTAATAGGCGCTGGGACATGTGCCAAGGCCATGGCTTTCATGTACAGTGAAGTTGTTGTACCGACTGCCAGCTCGTGTCACAACAGGGTTCTAGAGACACCACCGGCAAGCACAGTGGGGGAAGAGGAGTGCCAGCTGTGTGCTTCTGGCCGTGAGCCACTGCCAGGTGTTTAGCATTTTTGGGTGAAAAGATGTTCATTCACCTCATCGCTCAGTGGACGCATATCAGGTGACCAAAAACTGTGCCACAAAAAACCAGTCCTTTTCCTTTGGGTGCTCTTTGTCAGACCTACTCTAGGTCATATCTGTAAGGGGCAAGGCTGCTGACATGATATATGTTGGATTGCAGTTGCGGGTACACGGATAAAAAAAAATACAAATATGCTCAGCAAGAGATCGACAAGGCTTTGATAAGTCCCTGAACATCTGGTAATTACAAATTCAGTGCCGTGGGTTACCAGCAAAAGGAGCCAAAATCCAGGCTGGTTTCACATTCCTCTGTTGCCAGGCAATAGAATTGTGGGTTGTGTGTAATCCCTCACCTAGCATTGCTACACACAGAAGGCAAGGAGACGCCTCGCAGCAGACTCTTTCTCTATGGAACCATCAGGGAAGGGCCCACCAACAGCCACAGAGGATCTTTTAATTTCTTCACCCGGATGCAGTCGCACCACGAGTAGCAGATCTGCTGCTGCTGTCGGCTCAGGGGTTAGATCTCAAGCTCATTTCACGTGTGGCTGGGTGCAAATTAGCATTTGCTCTGCCTCCAACGCTCACCATGCTGCAGCCCTGCCCTCCCTCCTTCCCTCTGTTTACACGCAGAGCTTCCAGACGCCTGGCCTCAGCGCTGTGGCGTGCTAATGCTCACCAAGCTGCTAGTTGGTTTGACAAGAGAGCAATGCGCAAGAGCTTATCTAAATTAGTGGATACTGCTGTTTTTTAACATCACTGATCTGCTGGAACAGTTTATTATGCCACTGAGTGACTTCTGCAACACGGTCTGCCATTAATGGGCAGGAAAAGTTAAATTTGTAGCTGCACAGAAAAAGCTGCTTTAATTCTTTCTCCCTGTGACAATGAACTTGCCGCTCACTGTGATGTTACCCAGCTCTCTGAAGATGCAGAGCTCAAAAGACAGCACAGCCTCAGCATATTCCGAAGGGAGGAGCTTCTCTGGCTTCTTTGCTCTGTCTGAGCAAAGGATGAAGTGATATCTGAGAAACCCAGCAGAAAAAATTCAGGAGCTACTGTAACAAGCAACAGAGGGAGGGCATTTGGACCAGTGTGCAAATTCTAGCACCAGGGGGAAATTACCACCACGTTGGCACTGACCTGCCTCTCCCATATGGTGTTATCACCTGTAGGTTGGTGGCAAATTGGCAACGAATGCCAGCATATGGCATCAGCAGCCCTCCGCCTGTGTGTCAGGGTTCTGTTGCTTTCACCATTTCTCCTTGATGTCCTGTGGTTTTCTGTCATTATTCACTTCCTCATTCTGCTCCCACTGTTTGCCTTGTCATATTCTCTCACTGCTAGCTTTGTTAACATGGGTTTTTTTTTCTAATTTAAACAATTTTCTTTAGGTTGTTTGTCTGCTTCTTTTTTTTGACTCTGTGGTTCCTTTGTCTTACTCCTCCAGTCTCCTGTATCCAGATTCCTCCTCCCGCTCCATCCTGAGTGCAGCTGGCACCACAAACAATCTTAATAAGCACCTTTCAACAATAACTACACAGCTGAGACAAGCCAAGATGACAGTGTGTTTTCTTCCACCCTGTGACATGACTGTCCATTCCCCCACTGAGAGGGAAAAAAGTAAAACAACAAAAAAGAAAAGAAAAACAGGCTAATGGACTGTTAAACCTGATTAAGAGAAGCATCAGCTGAGCAGCCTGTGTTGCTGCCCTTTCTTTCCTCTTTCAGAAGAGTGTTCTTATCCCACGGCACCAGCGCTCACTGCTCACGATATGCAGACACACCCACACGCAAACATTAAGCGTTTCCCAGGGAGCAAGCCGCCTGACGCTAAGCTTGGCACCTGACTGACAGGTGTAGCCAAGAGGAAAGCCAATGCATGCCACCATTCATGGTGATAGCATCACTGCTTTGGTGCACTCCACTCCAAATCTCTCTCTCTCTCTCTCTCTCTCTCTCTCTTTCTCTCTGTCTCTCAACAAATATCTGTCAAGCTTTAAGTTTACGCCCTGCGTGTCTCTCAGGCTTTCTGCCGTCTCAGTAGGTTTCACATTTCACACCTCTGTGAATAATTGCTGATCAAATAGGCGATTATAGCAGTGTAATTAAGTCCTACACATAATGTTAGTTGAATCCTAACATTATATTAGTGATCATCTACCAGTATTTGTGGTTTATGAGGGCCAGTATAGAAAAGAGAGGCCAAAAACAAATCTTTTCTATAGGAGGGTGACGAACTGGGAATCAGTTTACAGAGAGGAAGACTTAGATAAAGCATATGAGCAATTTTTAAATATATTTAAGAAAGTATATGACAGGAACTGTCCTCGTAAGCAGTATAAAAACAAAAGGAATTACAGTGGGAAACCGTGGATGAGTAAGGGATTACAGAATGCATGTAAAAAGAAGAATGCGTTATATAAGGAATTCATAAAGGACAGATCAAAGAAGGCGGAAGAAAAATATAAGTCATATAAGAACAAATTAATTGAGATTTTGAGGAGATGTAAGAAACTATATTACTCTAAAGTATTAGAGGATAATAAAAATAACATGAGAGGTACTTGGAATATATTAAATAAATTGATTAGAAACAGTTCCAGCAAGAGTAACTACCCTCAATATTTTATGGATAATGATACACCAGTTAATAGATTGGAGGATGTAGTAGATAAGTTTAATAGGTTCTTTGTGAATGTTGGTCCTGGTTTAGCAAGAAGCATTTGTACAGATGATACATCCGTCACTATAAATAATAATACAATCGAAAGGAACATGAGTTCTATGTTTTTGAAGCCAATAGTTGAAAAGGAAATTATAGAGATAGTGAATAAATGTGGTAACAAAACATCTAGTGATAGTGATGGTATAACTATGACAACTGTTAAATGGGTGATTGAGGAGATATGCAAACCATTAACCCATATTTTTAACATGTCATTTCGACTTGGGCAGTTCCCCAATAATATGAAAATAGCAAAGGTGATTCCACTGTATAAATCTGGTGATAAGCACAACTTCACAAATTATAGAACGGTTTCTCTGTTGTCACAATTTTCAAAAATTCTGGAAAAACTCTTTAATAACAGACTAGACACATTTATTGATAAACATAATATCTTATCTGATTGTCAATATGGTTTTAGGTCACAAAGATCGACATCCTTGGCCATTACTGACCTGATGGAGGACATAACAAGTGCTATGGATGAGAAAAAATACACGATGGGGATATTTATTGACCTAAAAAAAGCTTTTGATACAGTTAATCATGAACTATTAATGGATAAGTTGGAGAAATATGGGATCAGAGGAATGGTTGGGAAATGGATCAGAAGTTATTTGACACAGAGGCGTCAATTTGTGAAGTTGGGTGAATACCAATCGAGTGAGCTGGACATTGTATGTGGAGTGCCTCAGGGTTCTGTTTTGGGACCTAAATTATTTATATTATACATCAACGATATATGCAAGGTTTCTGATTTAGTGAAAGTGGTTTTGTTTGCTGATGACACTACCATATGGGCATCAGGTGAAAACCTACAGCAACTCTCTGGACGAGTTTCACAGGAACTTGAGAAGATAAAGAAATGGTGTGACAGTAATATA